CAGCTAGAGCAGCAAAGCTGCTTCAGCTGCGCCTCAGAACTAAACTGGTACAAGCAGCAAAAAGGAAGCAGCAGGAGCGTTTTTGCTGTTCCTGCTGTGTTTGGTGTGAGCGCAGTTTATTAATGAACACAGTCAGATAAACACAAATCAAATGATAATTTTGCCAAATAAAACAAAAAATCGCCATCAGAGAGAGGGCTGCTGCAGACGGGCTGCGGTTAGCCTTGGCTGCTGTTACCCTTGGAGCTCTGCTGGTTGCCGCGGTCCTCTCAACTTCGGAAATCTTTTTTTTTTTATTACACAATAAATCAGTAAATGGACTATAAAGTGACAATTTAAAGTATAATATTCTCGGCTCAAATGATCTTAAAACATACTTTTATTGAACAACAGCAACAGAAAAGAGAACTTTAAACTTTCAATGGAGCGCTTCATTGAAAGCTACTGCTGCCGCGGTGCATGCTGGGACAGCTGTCAATCACAAGAACGGACAAGTCTGCTCTGATGCATACTCAATAAAGAGGGCGGGGCGAGAACAACATCTGGGTATTGGGTGCGTTCTCGGTCTGGCGTTCTCTGCAATTGGAACAGGGCTCGGGCTGAAGCTGATGAAGTATCACAAGTACACGAGCACACAAGAACGCTCAAGAACATATATTGAGAAACGGCCTGTGTGTGGTCTGAGGGTGCCATGGAGAAATTCCAAGACTGTTTTGAATGCTCTGACTGGAACATCTTCAAGGCTGCAGCAACATATGTCAACTTGTTAAATATTGATGATTATGCCATGACTGTGTCAGCCTACATTAACAAATGCATTGAGGACGTCAGCATCAAAAAGAACATCACCACCAGGGGAGACCAATGACCTGGAAATTGTTAAAAGCATGGAACTCAGCGGAACTCACATGTCAACTTGAACCGTGCCATTAGATCACCGAAGTAGAACCACAGCCAGAAGATCCAGGATCTCTTCCATGACAACAGCAACACCAGGAGGATTTGGAAAGGCATTCGGACGATCATGGACTACAACACACCCTTCCCCCCCAGTAGATGCAGCAAACACTGACTTCCTAAATAAACTGAACAACTTATCTGGAAGGTTTGAGGCACTTCTTAATGTGGACCCCAGGAAGACTAGCTGTTTGCCATGGCAACAGCTAATGGGGATCCTTAATAAAATTACAATTAATAAAATTACAATTACTTAACAGCACTCCAACAGTGAAAGCCATTCCACACCAGGGGGAGGAGACACTAAACCTGGATGTAGGTGAAGTGAGGAAAACTCTAGGGAGAGTCAACCCAAGGAAGGCCCCAGGGCCTGATAACATACCTGGGCGGTTGTACAAGGAGTGTGCAGATCAGCTGGCTGGTGTCCTCACAGACATTTTAACATCTCGCTGAACCGATCCTTAGTGCCAACATGCTTCAAGTCTGCCACCATTAACTGGGTCCCAAAGAAGCCTCAGGTGACCTCACAAAATGATTACAGGCCTGTCGCACTGACTCCAATCATGATGAAGTACTTCGAAAGGCTGGTTAAAGAACACGTCGTCTCCAGTCTGCTGCCAACATTCGACGCGTTCCAGTTCGCCTACTGACAAAACCGGCAGGCGTCCTCCACTGAGGATGCCATCTCTGCTGCTCTCCACCTGAGCCTGGCACACTTGGAGGAGAACACCCACGTGCAGATGTTTTTCCTGGACTTCAGTTAAGCTTTCAACACCATCTTCTCACAGCATCTGATGGGCAAACTGGAACAGCTGGGCTTCAATACACCCCTCTGCAATTGGCTGCTAGACTTCCTCACCAACAGACCATAGTCAGTCAGAGTTGGACAGAACACCTCTGATGTCATCAGTCTAAGCACAGGCTCCCCTCAGGGCTGTTCACCCTGATGACATATGACTGTGTCCCCAGGTTCACCACCATTCACATCGTGATGTTTACAGACAACACCACGGTGTTAGGCCAGAACGACCAGAACTACAGAGAGGAGGTGGAGCAGCTGGACTGGTGCAAAAATAACAGCCTGATCCTGAATGTGGAGAAGACAAAGGAGATCAACTTGGACTTCAGGAAGAACCAGCCTAACCACGCTCCACTGGTCATCAACAGCTCAGCTGTAGAGGTGATCAACAGCACCAAATTCCTGGGGGTGCACATCACAGATACCTTCAACTGGAATTTAAACACCACCTCACTGATCAAAAGGGCATAAAAGCGCATTTACTTATTGCGAGAGCTTACCTGCCCCCACCTATCCTCACCACCTTCTACAGAAGCACCAAAGAGAGCGTTTTGACCAGCTGTCTCACTGTGTGGTTTGGAGGCTGCAGCGCCTCAGACTGGAGGAAGGTAAGAAGAGTGGTAAGAACAGCAGAAAAGATCATTGGGACCCCTCTTCCCTCCATTAAAGACATTTTATCCCAGTGCAGCTGAGCCCTTTAATATTATAAATGACCCCCCACACCCCCACCATGGACTATTCTCCCTGCTGCTCTCTGTTAAGAGACCTCGAAGCTTCTGATGCAGCCCTAGTACATTCCAGAACAGTTTCTTCCCCACTGCAATTTCAATCTGAAAAACTCAGAGAGAGAGAAAGATGCAATTAGAAGAGTTTTATTGATACAATAGTTTGAACTTTGGCGCTCAGGCCTCGGCAGGAAACATAAACGCTGATTTATACTTTAATGCAGATAAACTGATGTATGAGAATATGGATATCCCCCGGGCCTGAAACTGGTGGTGGAGTTTAGATAGATGTAGTTTGGTTAATCCATAGAGGCTGGTATACAGAGTGATGCTTGAGTTAGATG